ATCCACTCATTGGGGCATCGGCACATGCGTCTACAGTAGAGGTGCACCCGTCACGTCCATACGAAAGGACATGGATCCCCAATGGACGCTCCAGCACTGCATGAACTCTTGCGAACTGGGTTGCATGGCTACATGGTTTAAACAGTCACCCTGGCACCCTAATTTTTCATCACTTCATAGTGGTCGGCCTACAGGTCTTCATCTAGCACCTCTTCACAGTGCAAGGTGCACCTGTGCCTACTCGCTGGATCAAAGCCCGGTTCACTGGGGTTCAGATGTCCTTCTACCTGATCGCTTCTGCATCGCCGTCCGCAGCGCAGCACCACCTTACCCTCCTTCTTCAGCACGAAATCACACAGCAATGGGCACGTGGATGCCTCTGCGTTCTTTCCAAAGCACCTGCTGCAGAGCTTATAGTCTGTGCCCCAGCTGTGGTCCACTCCGAGTTCCGTGAACCTCGAACCCTGGCTTCCGCACCTTGGCATGTGTTCATCCCGGGCTGCAGGCTTATGAATCTTCCCCGCTCCCGAGGAGAGTTGCACAAAGGTGTGGTGCATCTCTAGGTCCGTAGTTGCGGGGTCTCCCTCGCTGTCATCAGAGTCAGGACCCCACTCGACGGCGTTGGGCGATGTCTCCACGTGTTCAATCGGGTGATCTTTGTAGTACCTGGCGGCTGCATCTTTCTCCTTTCCAAGGGTGACTTCCAGCTCTTCCAGGTCTTCCGCACCAGTCCCACGCAGCGCAGGGGGGAGTTCGGTAACGGGGACTGCGCAGTCCCCACTGATCCTGCGCTCTCCCTGTCGATCCTCCGTGCAAACTATGGCGCGCCGGTCTCTGGCAGCCTCTGCTCCTCCTCGAGGGTCTCTACTGTGGCCCAATCGGGCTGTCGCATGGTGTCAAGCTCCTGGCCCTCCAGGGTTTGAATCACTGCCCCTCGGCGAATCTGATCGAGCACCTCAATCTGCGCCTTCAGAACCAGAATCTGAGATTCGCGGAGGTACAGGTCTGGCATGAGCTCTGCCGGGTCTTTCCAGGCTCCCTGGAACCTCACCGTCCTGGTGGTGACCTTGAAGTGGGTCATATAGGTGGGCATGGTCGTCTTGCAGCTGTGCCACCTCAGGTGCAACGCCTGCTCCCTGGGCATGATATTCTGGTTCCCTCCATCGATGTCGGTGAGAAGCGCGTGCTTCACTGTCAGGGTGTCTTCGGAGATCAAGGGTGGGTAAAGCTCCCACCCTTCTGCTTTCCCCGCTGCCCTCCCGACGAAGGAATGAGTGCGCCAATCATGGCCGTGCATCACTAGGAGGAGTTCCACCCATCGGACCAGCCACTTGTCGTTATCCGGATGAACTCCCAGTAGGCTCGCTGCCCATGTCCTGCGGCCTGACTTTGTGTATGCTGCTTTGGCGCGGAGTCCCAGGACTCCTGAACTTCCAACCATTCGGCACCACTCAACGTCCCTGCCGTGCCTGCCAGGTCGGAGTGACGGATGCTAGATTGCGTGCACAGGCGGAGCTTACCGCAAGCAATGCGAGTCTGCAGGTCCCGGGCTTCATCGAGCACCACCGTCTCCAGCCAGTATAGGAAACGGATCTCGAAGAAAGGTGCTGGCCTTCGCTCCGGGGACTTTCCAACGTAATCGGTGCAAAGCCTGCGGACCCGAGGGTGAGCGCTTCCAGGTGAGTGATACCCGAAAAGGCCACCAAAGTACTCCACGGCGTAGAGGAAGCTTCGAGGGGTATAAAATCCCACTTCATCTTCGATCAGGCTGATGACGAATGCCTGGATCGCTTCAAGCCCCATGATCTTTGGCCCGGTAGCTGAGGGAGCTCCATACTTGATCTCGTAGGCTTGAAGGTAGCGTGACAGGAGGCGAGCGTACCTGAGGGCTGTGCCTGCTGACTTCGGGTCCGTGTACCTGTGGAAGAGTGCAGAGTCGATGATGCCATCCCTTGAGCTAACTGTGTCCACCAAGTCCATCTCCACCCCATGAATCACAAGTTCTTCAAAGAGATGGGTTGCGAGCTTCCTGAACTCCTCGAGCTTGGTTTCTTCGAGGGGGCGGCTCCGGCGAGGAAGGCCCAAAGGGACGTAGGGCACGACTCGAGAAGGGGCGGCCTCCGACCCGCTCGGCTTTTCGGCTTTCTTTGAGAACCCTCCAAAGATGCCTACTTCGTCCAGGCCTCTGGCAATCCTACCTGGATCTTCCTCTGGCATGACTGCCGATGGCTTCGGCTTTTCCTCAGGCTCCTCCTCTTTGACTCGCAACTGCGGAATTTGAGGCACTGGGGACACTGCCTTCTTTGTAAAGCCCAAAGGCGAGAGTGCTGCTCCCGTCGCCCAGGTAGGAGTATCCCGGGAGGAGCGGTCTGTCGAAAGGTGAGGTGTTGAGGCTGCTGAGGAAGAGCCTTCTGAAGCGGCGGGTACCTTGGTAGGTTTCTCCGCCCTCTTCTCGGCGATCCAACTGGGAGGCGCCACCTCTGAACTCTGTGGTGGCCTCTCCTCCGACAAAGACTTTGCCACTGGATCGTCTGCTTCTTCTGATTCTCCCTGGATCTCCAGGGGTTGGTCACCTTCAGAACCGCTCCGGATGGCTTCCAGGATCTCGTTCGAAGGGACTCCGTTTTCGATCATGCGTGCGATCTCCTCCCTCGCGGACCATGCCCCAGCCGCAAACAAACCGCTTGTCCTTCCTAGCTTGGCACGGTCCCTTCGAGGGGATGTGTCGACCCGCTTTGCGCTGGGTCCTCTCCCCTGGCCGTCGCCGCGACCGCGACCTCCAGGAGGGTCGAACACAGTAAGAGGCTTACCACCGGCAGGGGCTCGCTCATGCGCCCACGCTGGAACAGGCATCTCCCCCCGCTGAAAAAGAAAAACAGCGGAGGCCTGTTCGGCTGCGGGGCTTGACCCAAAATGGCCACGTTGTTCGCCCCGCTAATCAGACATTTACTATAGTACCTGAGGCACAATCTGTATATATATGTATATGTATAATATAATATGCACAATACAAGCTTGTTGTAAAAAATGTGTGAATTGTTTCGTCGCAACGTGTGTTGATGGGTTTCGAACCAGTGAGCAGGTGAACTGCAAAGCCCCAGCTTGTGCCCACCAGAAAGCCCCAGCTTGCGCGCTGAACTACGGAACCCCAGCGTGATGCGTGACGTAGGACCAAAACTCAGCACCGCGAGAAGTGTAGGTCAATGTGGTGAAGATGGCTGTGCAGTGCCAAAGTGATTTCCGGATGCCATTCCTAGGTATCACAGATTCGCCAGTGTTGAAAGCGCATGAACTTGGAAGCTGCGCCAAAGAGAACCCACCCTCTTCAATCCAGTGGCTTTGAGGTGTTGGATCTATTCAAGGTCCAATCGAGTCACTTCCTCCACCTTTCACCCATCACAAGTAAACATCATTGCCTGTGAGGGGAGTCATGCTGGTCATTGATGTTGAACATGCAAACGTAAGTAGAAAAAGGATACACCGCAGCATGATCACACCAAGCAGGGAGCATCCCAACAGTTTCTACCGTTTGTACCTATGTTCATGGAATCGTTGGGATGGCGGTGACCCGAGGTGCTACTCTTCTGTTCAGGACATCTGTCCTCAACCCCTCAGACTTGCAAAACCATCTGGAGCCGTGGATCATGTGCATAGTGTGTTGATGGCTCACCCAGCACCCTGATGCAGCTTTGGGATACCAATCACGCATTGATGCGCCAATACTACCTGGTGGATCCTGGTTCCCATCGGCATGCCACCTTGGACATCTGCGGTTTTGGCTGGTCTTGGTTCGAAGCGTGTCACAGCAAGGCTTAGGGCTCGCATTCCTTTTCCATCGTTTCCGTTGTGAGGCTGTAACCCTTGACGCCGTGTCCTGTTCTGTATGGTCCTGGTGTCATCGACCATCGTGTACCCTAGCAAGGCTAATGGGGTGTGTCCATTCAACTGGCCTCAACGGAAAGATCTGCAGGGATTGTCCAAATTGGCTGGTCAACATATGCATCGAAACTATCAAAATGACACACCCTTTGAGCCTTGGGGCAGAACTTCTTCTACCCCCATTTTCAGACCCATCTGCATAGTCAGATCATGTCATATCATGTCAATCTTAAAACACGTTTCTACCCGGCCAGCATTTCTTCTTCAGCCACAGCCTCACGCGCCTCATGCGCCTCATGCGCATCTCTTTCACCGAACACCCGCGGCCGAAAAAAACGCCGCAACGCCTCAGGCGCGCCGCTCGAGCGCCTGAAGATTCACGGCCGGCCAGAACCTGAGGGCGAAACGCGAAGCGAAGCGAACGCTTCGGTGGCCAAACCCCATTCCGGTCGCCACGCCACGAAGATCCGGAAGACGGGATACGAAAGAAACGGAAAGAAAGAACAAACGGATCATTCATGAACATGTTTCATGTCCAGTCCGATGCCTTCATCGAGATCCCGAAACCTTCCCCACATTGGTGGGAAACGTCACCGTCACCCCACCACACCGTGACGGAGGATCGCGACACTTGCTCCGCACGCCACAAAGGCCGAGAAGCTCGGCGCGCTTCTTGTCCGGCATCGACTCAATGGAAATACTCTTGATGGTGTTCCTGAGCGTTTTCTGGGGAGAACGAAGGAAGGGATGGACAAAAAGGATCCAACGCGGATAGAAGTGTTGGAAGCTTGGCTTTCTTCTCAGTTCGGGCGGAGTTGGTTGGTTCTCATATGTCATATGTTCTCAGCCTATTTGTGGATCTGAATGATCTGAGAAGGCATCGCCATTCCTTCGAAGCTGCGAGGTTGAAGTGCCTCAAGCCTTTCTCAAGACACGGCTGACTCGCTATGCCACGGGTAAACAGAAAGGCGGCGCTAAGCCTCCTGACTTCACGCATGGCCCAGGCCGCGCTGTCTGTGTGCACCACGAGTGTTCTGAGTGTCTTTGACAAAAAGCACTATGGACACCATCAATGTAGCTTCCGAATTCGCGGAAGAATGGGGTCACGTTCCACAACCTGCTCACAGTGTACACTCACAGTTGCTCACTGTGTGATGGTGTATTTTCCTTCCAAGGTGCCATTTGAGCCAGAAGTAGTTGGCGCACCCGTCTTGCAGCAGTTGCCGCAAAATGCAGCTGCTGTCCGTCTCTTGGACCTGTCGACCGTGGAGCGAAAGCGGTCAGAGACGGTGGCCCTTGGGTCGTTTTGGGCGGCTTTTTGTTGGACTCCAAGACGACCAACAAACTTCCAAACCAGATGTCCACTTCATCTGGTTCATCTTCCAACAAATGAAGACTAGTTCATCTTCGCACTCATGAGCTATATATTTAGATGAGACCGGGCTCGGTTCTCCACACGTCTCGTGCGGCGAAGCGGTCGGTCACCGAGGCACACAGTAAAGCTCACCTTTGAGCTCTTCCTGAGCAGAGAGAGAGAGAGAGGCGTGGAGAGAGGCTGGAAAGGACATGAAAGTACGGCTGGAATTCATAGATGGGTAGAGTGTTGGAATAAGGGCACTATAATTCCTTTCTTTATAGCTTTTGGTGGCTTTCCTTTCTTCCAGGGGTCTTTGGCATGGGAGGTCAGTCTCCCTTGTTTAAATGACACCAGTTGCTGTGGATCCCATGGAAACCGGAGGATTCTCTGAACAAATGCTACTGCTTCGGCCGATCGAGTCAGCGGCATAGTCAGCATCTCCAAGTCACATGACTCACAACCCGCCGGTGGATGACCCCTGGAGTCATTTTTGAAAAGCCAAGTCACAAAACTGTACACCTGGCGCTGGCAACACACATCAAAGTCATGTTTTTGGTGATCTATCATGATCTATCCATCGCTTTTGGGTGGTTGTGACTTGGAGGCAAGCTAGCCATAAGTCATTAAATCTATCAAAGCTGGCGTGATTTCTGTTTGAATCACTGGGAGTGAACGAGGACCCGCAGTTTGCCTCTCCCAGCTCCACCATGATCCGACCTTCTCACTGATCCCCATCTCCCCATCCACTTCCCACTGTTCAAATCCAGTCAAAGGCTCCCCTCCCTGCGTGGTGAGCTTGAGCTCAGCACCCAAGAAATGCTCGGAACCCTTCGAGCGGATGTACTTCCTCGCTGCGGCGAAGGCAGCCAGCCGCACCAGTTTCGTCCAATTCCAGAAGGGTGGGAAGGTCTCATGGTCCAGAAAGTCTCATGCAGGCTCCAAAGCGCACACGGGACTTGAAGCAAGAGCCCCAAAGTGCTCTCGCTATCTGGGAAAAAGCGAGAGTGGGAAGCACTGTTCTGGGGTACTGTGGGAGTCACATTGTGACTATTTTAGTCAGATTTTGCTTGGAGGCCCGGATGATATTGATCGTCTTCCAGAAGACAAAACCATCCATCCGAATCAACACACCATCCATCTTAATCTTCGCTCAGGTCGTCCGACTTGAATCCGCCCAAAAGACTCCGCGGAGCCCACGCGGTTCCGTTTTGAGCGCCAAGCAGCTCCATCTGTTCGTGGGTGGCCTGTTGCACCGTCACCTGAGACTGTTTTCGAGTGCCCCACAGTACCCTAACGGTGTGGGGAGATGAGTGAAGATGAGTTTCAGATGGGCCCCATTGGCCCATGGCCCCAGGCTCCATGCCCTGCAACATGGCTGTTTGCCTTTCAGGAGAGGTCCAAATGCAAATAGATACTTAAACAAATACTGTCTCCTCATTCTGGGCTGCAACCCCATAGCACTGAAATAGAAACCCACAGCTCAAGTCCCCAAACTTGGTTCCAAGCCAATGATCCAGGACCACCTAATTATACGTGCTATCCCACCCAATATAACCAGTGAAAACAGGCACCCCAGGCACCCATGTGTTGCCCCGCATGTTTGCACGCGTTCTTCTTCGCCCTCCACCACCACCCCCCACCCCCTTTCCGAACCACCCACGCCTGGATGTTGACGCTGCCCATGTCCGCCAGTTTCTCGGACATGTTCGTCAGGGGAGCACCGTCCTTGGCCAAGGAGATGAGATCCTGCCGGAGGCCGTCGCGTCGCGGGAGCCAACCCGGTGTTGCGTGTGTATGGCGGATGGAATGGATCAATAAGGCCCGCGACTCGAAAGGTTTGTAGCCATCATTGTAGCCATGTACACATCACCAAATAGTATGAAAATATACCAGCACCCTCCTGGCCAGGCTGTTAGTTGAGGGTTGTTGAACCCTAACAGGTCTCTATTGGTGACCTGTCAGAGGGTCCTGGTGTGTATATATATATATATGTGTGTGTGTATATATATATAATGTGTATATAATGTGTATATATATATAGGGCAAGCATCCAAGAGTCGGGCAAGCATCCAAGAGTCGGGCCATTTTCTATGGTTTGGAGCACCTCGCACTCCACAGCAAAGAGAAGGTCACGGTGGCCATTTATGACCATGCAGTTTGGAAAGCCTGGCAAACCACCAAGGCCTATGAATGCTGCCCGGATCTGTATGAGGGACTGGACCCTGAGGACTTCATCCAAGTCAGGCCCTTGCTTTTTGGGCGGAAGGAATTGGACTCCAATGCGGCCAGACACTTCTTTCAACAAGAGGCTGACAAAGTGGCCAAGAAATTTGCCAAAGAGTCTCGGAATGAAGACATCCTTGAGCAGCGGAACATCGATGAGGACACGAGAGACATCCTTTGTGTCGCATCAGCCCGCATGAACATCCTCTTGAAGGACAAGTCCCATTTCCTCCACAGGGCTGCTGCACCTGAACAGCAGCACAAGGTGCCTCTGATCCAGCAGAAGAGGGAGATCCTTCAACAGCTTGAAAGCCGACCAGAGTCAAGGGGACATTCCTGGCAGCCCTTCCGCTCCGGAGTTCAATGCTCTCAAGCAACGGTTCCATGCTAAGAGCCTCATTGTTGAACTTCGAGCTGCCCTGGACTCCACATGCATGATGGCAGCGCCCAAGACCCCCAATCGGAAGACGAGATTTGAGGTGATCCAGGACCTCATAGCTGCCCAGGATGGCGTCCAACCTGGTGTGCACCATCTGCGGCTTGAAAAAGCATACCTCCGCTGCACGGAATGCTCCAGCTACATTTTAGCTCGATGCCGAGAGGACGCATTCAGCGGCGCCTTTGTTGGGGCACCCTGTCGGGTAGGCCCTTTGGAGCCCTCGCTTTGGTTTGGCCATCCCACGCACACGATGGCAAGACGAGGGAAGCAAGCTACATGCACCCGCTGCGGTGCGAAGGCACGGATCATTGAGGAGAAGCTGGAGCTCCATGACCGCCTTCGGAAGAGATGCGAGGCTGCTCAGACAAAAGACCTGAGAGCCTGGTTCACGTGAGCGCCTTCTTGCACAGAAAAGGCGTGCAAAAAAAATTGTATATAATATATATATATAGTTATATATATATATATTAAGTTCTCGAAACAAATGATCAAGCAGGGGGACACTTGTCTCGTCCTACCAAAAATACCTTCGGCCTTCTGGTGTTTGTTCTGCAGCAAGGCAACCTTGGTCCTTGTTCAAACGCAAGAAGACTAACCACACCGTTCCTGGCCGTGTAGGGTCAGAGCAAGTCGACCTTCTCAAGCAGAGCCAGTTCGGGCGTGGGGTTCCTGGGGCTCCCAGAACCCACCAACGCCGCTGCGCTGCCCATGGGCGCGGCAGCCGCGTCGGAGACCGCGGCCCCGCTCCTCGGGCACATGAAACTCCTCTGCGAGCATTGTGGTCACAGTACCTGCCAAGGAAGGCGGTGGACGAAGGCGGCGAGGAACCGCGGCAAAAAACAGCAGAGTTCCACCAAGAACGCTTCGACGCGTTGGAGGACTTGCTGGGCGAAGTCGAACGTGTTTTTCCTGGAGAATGTCACACTGCAAAAGCCTCAGGAGTTTGACAGAAACGCACTCTATCTTGCTCCTTCCAATCTTGAAAGGATCGATTCATCTACAGTATCAGGCATCAGGGTATGAGATTAATTTCTCTCCTTCCTTGCTTCCATGCTTCTGTGCTTCCTCTCTCTCTCTCCCTCCCTCCCTCACTCGCTCACTTGCTTCCTTCCTTCCTTGGAACTTAGTTGGTGACTTTGCTCTCAAAAACCACCCATCAAAGCATTTTAGTAAAAATCAAGAGTCATCCCCCCAAAAAACATGTCCCAAAGTACTGGCCCCACGAAATCGCTGGCCGTCTTGTATACTTCTGCCACTCGTTCTTCGCGCCTACGGTGTCCGTCTGCGTGGGCGTGGTTAAAATCGCCTCATTGCCTCAGAAGGCGCGGCCCCGACTCGGACGGGGTTGTTGTTGACCTTCTCGACCGGCTTCGGCGTTGGTGACTCAACGAACTCGACTGGTGATCCACCTGGGAAAGCCAAGGACTCAAAAAAGAATGGTACGTACCATAAGTACGTGATTTATCTTGGCCATTGAGCTTGGCTCATGCTGTTCTTGACGGAGAAGTTGGATCAGAATGGCTGTGAAGGTCACCGGGCGTCCGCGAGCGGAACGAATCTATTCCGGAGGAGCGACGTCACTGTCGCACGCGAGCTGCGACTCCCACCATCACTCGAAGGACTCGTAATCTTCACATCTCTTCAGAACTAGATCTAGTCTCTTTCAACTCCCCAGCACTGACATCCGGTTCCCAACTAGCCTTCCCAGCTAGCCTTGAGCCACTTGCAATTTGAAGCCAGTAGCTATATAGTGTGTGTGTGTGTGTGTTTTTTTTCCGACCCCACTGAAGTCTTCACCAGCCCAGCGACGCCCCACAAGTGTCAGCTTCGGCATGGGCGGCTGGTTCCGCATATGCGGCGGTCTGTAAGGCGGCATGGCCCCACCAATTGGGCGCGGCTTACGCGCGGGCGCGCGGCTTGGGCGCGGGCTACCGGGTGTCCGGATCTCTACGTCTATCAAGAATTGCAAGATGCTGTGAGGCCAGACACCGCGCGCGAGGTCAACCGCTACCTGATCCTCCAAGCTCTGGTGGAATCAGAGCCTCCAGTTGCCCGGTGATAAAGCTACTCAGAACCCTTCAGAACCCAACCTGCAGGTCCTGAGATGTTGGTGTTATACCTGTTTTTTCCCGCATCAGAAAACCGCTCCGCCTGGATGCGGCTCCTGTGACGAAAAACCGGCCCGCCAGGATTTCGTTGCGTCGGGTAAAGGCCACGTCTGGCCTCCCCCCGGCACCAACTTGCTGTTGGATCTGAGATGTTTTGAGATGAATCAGGATCCAGGGATTCAGGCCACGCGAAGTCTCCCCCATTCAACACCCCTGAAGAGAACAAGTGTTTGCATCTTCAAGTCGACTGATGCTGCTGCTGTTGTTCATCAGAACTGACCAGAACTTACTATAATGTCTCCAAGCCTTCGGCTAGACCGGGTCTAGACCCCATGCCTTGCATCTCCTCGTAAACTCGAAATTCAATCTGCCAGGTAGCTGTGAGCACCATTTGACCCAAATTCATCCCAATTCGCATCGCAAGTGGAAGCACTCGTCGAATCAAGGGGTGCCCACTGAATTCCACTCGGATTCCGTGGCATTCACTGACCCGAAATCAAACCTTCTGGTGCTTCACACTTCCGCAGTCTCCCTCGTGCAAATTATCCCCGTTTCATCCCGTCGTTTCCGTTGGGAAAGCATCTGCCTAGGCGTCTCCCGCTTGCAGCTCCACCCAGCTCCCCCACAGCTTCACATCCTGGCGCCGGTCCGGACCAGCGGGCCCGGTCCGGGCGTGTATATGTGTAATATATGCCGAAGTCCAGTTCGACTATATGTTGACTTGAAGTTTGCAGCATATTCCTTGACTCGTGTCACCTAGTCAGACCATTCTTTTGATAGTCTTTGACTCCCAGGGTGTGTGTATATGTGTTTTTTGGTTGGCCCGCGAGGGTCCTTGACAGGCACCCTGCGATTCTATTCAATCCGAGTAGATAACTCATTTGCCACCAAACTGCGAAAGGAAGGATGATGGTTCCATCTCCCACGCCGACGCTGGCACGTTCACCCCCGCGGTCATCCACCCGTCTCCACCGTCTCCACCGGTCCCCGAGCTAAGCTCCGGGTGCCAACCTGAGCACCTGGAGCTTACTGTAGATGGAAAAAGATCTCAGACTCAGAGAATCATCCCGGTATGTTAGCAGACCACCTGGTGGTTTGCAAGCGGGTTAGGGGTACAACTGTACACCCGCCCCAAACTGGCAAAAACCGAACCCAGTTCTGGCTCATAACCCCACTATATAACTATAGATCATGGTAAATCGGTGGGTCCGAAATCAAAAGTCCCAAACATTCTCACCTGAATCCAGGGCTCCTCCTCTCACCACCCGTCCTGCTCGTCATTGTTGCCTTCGCCAGCCACGCGGGCGCCCACGCGCAAGCAAAGGAGCCTCCCCGAGGTCGCGAGGCCAGTCTTCACGAGGCAAGTTCGAGGGCATCACACGGAGGTCTTGGATGAGAACAAAGGAAAACACCGCTGGCTTGGCCGTTTTGAAAGGTGACAGACCCTCTGTCGATCGAAAGAAGACAGAAAGGTCCCGTGCGAAGCGAGAAAAGGCATGATGTGAGAACATCTGCCCTTTTCCTTCATGAAGGATACAGTATCTTATAGATAGTTATTACTGTTCCCGAGAGCTGATACAAGACATCCCAAACTACCATAGCCCTGTAGATACAAAGCTCTCTTTGTGCAGTTGCCGCCATGCTTTCATGAACTTTCGAGGCTGCACTTCCACAGCCACAATGAGTTTGTTGAGGTCTATGAGTCTATAACCAACTAAAGGCCGAGATCACTGACGATAGCCCACCCCATCCCCTAGAGCGTCACAAAACCCCAGTCCCAGTCCCGTGCCCCTGTGGCAGGTTGCCCACAACCACCTGGCCGATCGGGCGGAAGATGTGGGCAAGGAGAAGAGCAGAACATGAGAAACTGGCAAAGCCTCTGGTGTTTTGTACATTCCAAGAATGGTCGTAGGCATCATATGCTATTAAGTTGTACTCCCACATCGTCCCTACCTGCCAAAAGAAAAGGGAAAAATCGATGAAGCTCTCCAAACACAATGGCAAACTCCCTTCATGGTGCTTTACTGGTCCAAGTAAGTTGGCATGCCATTGGAATGGTCTGAAGTCCAGGGTCAAGTGCACCATAGTGCGGAAGCCTGTGGTGATGGATTTATCATCTTTGGTCGTACTGATCTCGGAGCTTGCGACCACACATCCGCCACCCCCGACCTGCTGCGGTGGCTTGTTTGATCCTTGTCGAACAGTTGGCACATGTTGGCACTGAAAGCCTTTCTTGTTTCCTTGTGCTACCAGCGGCGTACTGTCAGTCAACCCACGTCGCGTGAAGTCAACTCACTGGATCGGCACTCACGTCGCTGAGTCGACTTAACGGTAGTCCCACCTTGTTGCTCGCCGAGACCTTGTGTCCCCGCATTTGCTTGGCAGCGCCCTGGCAGACACCAGAGCCCCACAGCCACGTCTGCATCGTCCCGTTTTTTCCATGACATGAAGATCGGAGATCCTGCGGGGGTAAAGAATGAAGGCATCGAAAAGGATTCGTGCATAAAGAATCAGAGCCAGACACATCCCAATACATCAGAGACCCAAACGAAATCATCGGCGGATTCGGTTTTATGAGGCCAACGGTTGGCTTTCCTACCTGGCCAAGGTAGGAAGCGGCGGTTGAACATTCACTGCACGATGCCACAGGTCTTCTGTTCCAAAATACCCACTGGGGGGCAAAATTACAATATATGTTATATAGAATTAATGAGATATGTACTTCTAAAGCCTACACATCGCTTTATAGCCGGTCCACTTTTCGGAAGCTCATCGGGCTCGAAGCTCTCTTCGCACACCGAAGCTCTCCACACCCGGTGTCGAAGCTCTCCACACCGACACACCCGGTCCGTGAGACGGGTCCACGTCACCGACACCCCGCCTCAGGGGTGCGCCACTCGACGTTGTAGGCCACCCGCTTCTCCTGACCGCGAAAAACGCGTAGCCATGGGGCTCCACCCACGCGGAGCCCACGTGTTGGACCCCGACCTTTTTCGGGGGTCCGACGGGCTTAGACGGGGGCCGAGTGTAGCTGTGTGGGAAGGGAGGGAGTTTCGACCTGAAACAAGCATGGTTACGTGCATGGCATGGCCTCGAGTTCGGATGACCATTTTGCGAATACCGGTTTCCGGTGGTGCGGCCTCCACTAAACCCATGGTTTATTGGAGGGTAGCTCTCGTCTGCATTGGCGACCGGATGGATCGTTGATGGCGGCCATGGCATGAAATCCTTCGGTCTCTTCACGACAGAACATGTTGAGACCTGGATAGTTTCTGTTGGTCAAACAGATGGCGCAGCACGAGAATGTTGAATATGACTGGAGCCGATCAAGATCTCTACGAGCAGAGACCATCTGACCATGAGGCTTGGTACGATGCAAGGGATTTCAGGGGATGCTACTCAGTCAGACAATCATGGAAGATGAGCAAAGCCCCTTGGTAGCGGAAATGATCAGGCATAGATGAAAAGCTTGGTGCCCTCATCACCAAGCTCTTTTCCGCACTGTTCACTCTATATAATACCTGACTTCACCCACCCCCCAGAACCAACCCAGACCCCCCCCACCCCGCAACACTGACTCCACCATCTCCATCCACCCCACCCCGGCTCGACCCTCGCACCTGGTGAAGCCCAGGCCAGGTGACCTCCAGCGCATCGTAGGTCCGTGCGGTGACCCGGAGTTCGCCCCAGCAGGCGAGCAGCCGCTGGCCGATGAAGACCTCGCACGCACACGCGCACACGCGGAGGACCGACAGGTGGTCCTGGCTGGAAGGGGAGGCAAGGCCAAGGACTGACACGTGTTCAAGTCTGGAGCCCAAGATCGCTTTCCCACCATGCTTCATCTTGGGGGATCTCTTATAAGCAAACGTCCCGGTTTTGGTGCGGATGCGCCCACCTGCGCCCACCCACGAAGGTCGGGTTCCCCGGACGTCTCTCGAGTTCGATCGTCGGACGTCGTGGGGCCGAGGCGCCCAGGAGTTTTCCAGGTCGCACTCAGCCAACTGCAGCCAACCGCCGCCCGGGTAGCCATAGACCAGCTCCCCTGATTGAGCGAAGACAAGAGGTGAAGCTTGGTGCAGGAGGGCAGGGAGACGATCTAGGTCCATCTATAGGTGCTCTAAGGTCTTGTAACATGAGATCCTTTTCGTTAAGCAACTAAACGAACTCCTGTCTATCTCAGCTAATTAGGACCTTGGATGGGCAGAGTGCCAGTGATGCATGTGTAGACGTTGTGTGGTGTGAATCCATGCCTTAGGACAGAAGATAGCCCAAACATGCCAGCCTAAGCTTTAAGCATCTAAAGTGTCACAGTGTTGAACACACCCATTTACAGGCCACCGCACCAAACCAGAAAAGCCGGCCTCGTTCCAGCTTGCCCACCTGGGGACTCTGCACCAAGGGCTCCTTGCGCACTGGGGCGCTGTGGTCTTCAGCCAAGACCTCACAACTGCCCCGTCCACTGCGGCACTGGGCGGTGAGGAGAACGAGAGTGAACTCACCGCGGACCCTTTTCAGAAGCCAAACAGGGGTTTTGGAAGGGAGGGTATCAAGTCGCACACAATAATATGATATAATGTGTGTGTGCTTTCTCGAGTGTGATTCCGAATTATACTAAGGGACCATTGGGACGTTGTCGGAAGTTCAGGTCCTCTGTGTGTGCGGGATATCTCGGTTGGAGTTATATCATGTTTTGCAGGCGGCGAGGCTTCCAGCCAGCAAAGGCTACTTGCAAAGCTCTTGAGTTTGAGTTGAGAGTCTTGATTAAACAAATTGCTTTGTCAAAGCAGCATCGATACATTGAAGTTAAATCATGAAATCATGTTAAATCACCTACCAGCTGCTTCCAAGGGGTTACCAATGGACAGCCCTACACTGCTAAAAGAGGTCACCATTGGAAACCCGTTGGAAGCGCTAAAACAGCCCTCGTGGTTTCAAAAAAGAACGACCGACGGTCAAGATCTGCGAGATGTGGATGGTCAAACACTTTTCAATGACCATGATGCGAACACCAAACTTCTGGCAGCCAGCTTCGTCCTGGTCTTTCTGGGCCAAGAAAAGTAGCCTTTTTGGCAGGTGACCCGCACTGTGCTACCTCAACGACCCGCACTCCGTCATCCCAGGCGCGCGGTACTCCAGAGGCCCCTGAAGCTGCTTTCGAGCCAACGAGGCCGCGTCCATGCGCTGAGCGACCTCGGAAAAGGAACAATTCTGCAGCTGGGCCACCAAAGATATGCCTTTGCCATCCGCATGTGTAGCTTTGGAAGAGAAGTTGTCCTTTGAGCCCCCCCCCGAACCAAACAACCAAGTCTTGCAAGTCTGTGGCCCCCTGAATGAGATAAAGATCTCCCCCCCTCAACCTCTCACAGCTCACCCCTCCTTCTCAGTCACTCCCACCTTCACCGGGTCGGTCACAGGTGTCTGCTGCTTCTCCGCCGGCGCCTTCGCCGGCTCGGCCGGCGGTGCTTTCTCCGGCGCTGTCGCCGGCGCGAGCGGCGCAGAAAGCTGCGCTGGCGGAGCTGAACTGGGCTCCGCAGGCGGTGGAGCGGCCTAAGCGAAGAAAGAGAGCTGACAGGCTGGACATGTTTGCTGGGCTCGCTGCGTCTGAAAGGCTCACATCAGCCACAAAAGGACATGGCCATGTGTAGACAGTGGATGGTGGGTGAACCCAAGCGAACCCAAGTTATTGAGTTCCTCTTTAGTCTGCTTGGCCTTAACGATTTCCACTGTCCTTCCAGTTGATGGCAATGGAATTCTGAAGAGCAAAACGAACTAGGTAGTGCAGGATTTGTTAATACGAAGGAAGTGGAAGTGTTCTGTTGGAAAGCGGGTGGGCCTGCAGCCTCTGCAGGCCTGCACACGGGGTGTTTTTTTCACCTGGCCATGGGATGGGTACACCAACTTTCTGGTTGCAATCCCCATCAACCAAATCAACCGAGAAACACTGTCCACTCTCCAACAGCGAAGAAGAGCAAGTGAGGCGAGGGACGCTCGGTTCCCAAGAACGGCTTTTCCCCAAAAGGACATGTCAAACATGAGCAGGCCTCCCTAGTCATTCGAAGTAGATGGACTGCCATTGGTTTGGAAGTCGCCTCGAAAAAGGAAACAATTGAAGCCCAGAGGCAGGAGCTAGGCTGCCTGGCATGCAAAATGGATTCGATGTGGAGCGTGTGGGTGCCGTCTCTGGCTGTAGATGATGGGGTTGGAAGAGTTGGAAATCTTGATAAACCTTGGTCACTCCTCTCCTGTGTTCAGGTGACCAAGAGTCCCAGGGAGACATGACAGCATGTGAGTGTGGTCTTCCAAAGCGGCCCCCAAAGCGGAGGCTTGGATGATTCCGCAAAAAGATCTTCTAGAGCTGGATTTTGCCATGAACTTGAAGACGATCCTGAGGAGAAACATCACACTGTTCACGTGACACGCAAACGGTCATTGAAAACATTGTGACCTGCTGAAATACAACTTCCACAAAGCTTTCTATGAGAATGTCTCGAACCAATCTTCGCTCGCCACGGGCAACTTGCCTTGATAGGAGCGCAACGCTCGCTGGCCATCAGCATCCAAGGGCTCTAAAATGCTCGCGCCGCACACGTCTTGGATCAAGGCCCAAGCCTCTTCGTCGGCGACCTGAACCGAAACGAAAGGCCGCTCGAAGTCCTTCACCGTCGTCAATTCGATTCAATGCGTCACGTTTTTGTTTGCATGGAAGGCAGGCGATTTTTCGGACGCAAGGGGGAAGAAGGCCCGGTGTGTGAGACCAAGGCATACAGTTAATGAGTCGGCAAGTGAAACGAAGGCAGTAATTGGCTGTGCATGTGGTGATCACAAAGAATTCCTACGTAGTCAAAGAAACATAAAGAAACTAATAGAAACTATATACCTACGAACCCTAGAAGGGAAGATAAGGGAAGACCCTTTCCAATCTTTCCATATCGTTGCATCTATCCAACTCACAAAAATGTTTTCCTGCAGAGCATCACCCAGTGCCTGACCACAAACAACAAACAATGACGCACATACTAACCACACCGAACATAACTACAACACACCACACTCGACAATGCAAGGACAAATACGGCAAACAACCAGCAATGACATCATGGCAACATCATGGCCATAGCCACAACACACCAAGCAAACAACAAACAAATCGCACACATCAGTGATGCCACCCACGGCCCGACCGTCTCACCCAAAAACCCTCACCCTCACCGTGGCCGACCGTGGCCGACCGTGGCCGACCGTAGATAGCTTCGATGGAGGGTGTGTACCAAACGCCCCCGCCCAGTCCAAACACCGGAATATAAAGAGGCCAAGCCCTATCTTCAAAAGTCTAAGCACTCTTCGATTTGGGCTCAAAAACCGGCTGGACAGCCCCCTTGTCTGGCTTTCGCTTTCGCCCCCCCCCGTTGCCTTGCCAAACCGCGGTCCCGATCCGGCCTTTCTCCAAGAGCTCCCCTGACATCGAAAAAGGGTCGGTCTTCGGGTCGGGGCGAAAGAAGAGTCTTCTTTGACAGTGTACTGATAAGGATTCCACTTTTTGGGAAGATTTGTCAAGGATTCCATTCTGGAATATGGAATACCTTTGTTTTTGCGTGGGCTCTACATATTCCACCTCCATTTTAGGGATGCGCGTCAGGATAGAGAAGTCCTTCGGGTTCAATTCATCCAGTGAGCAACTGAACAACTCCCGTGTCCCACCTGAGCGAGCTCTCGCTGGTGCCCCCCACATGTAATTCAAGGCCTGCCCAGAAAAAATCCTCCAAAACCCAGAAAAAGACCGACTGGTTGTTTCCATCCGACTCCAACACCCTCCAGGACCACGCCTCGAAGCGGAGCCAGAGGTGTCCAGCCACCTTGTGCGGTGTGCCCATGAGCATCCGCCCCACGTGGACCACGCCAACCACCTGCAGCACTGGAAGGCTTGGACGGGGGTTTGGAGTGAGGAAATCCGAAGGGTTCAACGGACCACTGGCCAGAAGCGAGTGGGACCTAAGACCCGAAAAAAGCTTCCAACGGCCATTGATAAGAGCGGCGCTTCGGAAGAACCATTGTTTTTACTGAGGATTTGGGGCGACAAAACCAGGATCAACCTATATAAGTGGTGAAAGCTAGGGCTAGGGGGTTCGGCAACATGCAAAAGGCCACGCTGCACGGGTGTTAATGATGAGCTGTCCAAGCAAGTATGAGCACAAATCGTGGATTGGAGTGGCAAATCAATACATTGTTCAAATATGTTCAAATTACACTCAAGGCCCCAGCAGTCGGGTCACTCATGTTCAAACATGCGGCGTTTCAAAGGTCAGAGATTGTCATCTGAATGATCATACTAGCAGGGTATCATGGGGTCATACGGTGGACTCTGTATACTCTGCAGAAGGGCGAGCGACCCCTGCTGAATTGATTTGCCTGCAAAGCAGGCCAAATAAGCCTGCAGGTGCATCTGATCATTCACCGCAAGCGGTGTAGCATGCCAGTGTCCGTTCTCTTCGCAACTGCTGGCCGTGCTGGAAATACGTACGCCTTTGCTTGCCAACGTGGTCAGCTGCGGAATCTCTCTTGAAACGTGGGCTTCTCTCCCTCAACCTCAATCTGCTTCTCGGCATGGAGCTTTCCCTGTCCAGCCTCGACTGGCTTCTCCAGTCCGCGTGGAGCTTCTGAGAGCCACAACGTTGAGCGCTTGCTCCCACCAACGCTGCCAAGAATGCCACTGCCAACTTGCAACCAGCTAGCAAATGAGAGCACCGTTTCTGCCGGTGGGCGAGTGCAGCATTCAGTAGATGGCTCTCTTTTTTTGTTCTCGCCCATGCTCCTTGTGTCTGGTTCCGGGCGTCGTCTGCCGCCGGTCCTTCCGCCTGCGGGGCTTCCGCCTGTGGCCCGCTGCAGGGCGTCGTCGACTGCTGCCCGTTGCTTGGCAGCGCGTGGCTTGGACGTGTCCAGCTCCTGTCAGCCCTTAGGACCTTGCGTCCACGTCAGCGAAGGCATTGGTCTCTTCCTCGTTCGAAGCGAGTCGCGAGGAGTTCGATGCCTCGGCCGGCAGTCCAATCGACAAAGCGACGAACGAACTTTGATTTAGACGCCGTGAGTCCGTGTCCAAGTTCGCGGCAATTAGCTGTTTTCGATGTCTTGTGGTCAGAGGCGAGAAGGATGAACTCGGTGCCAAGCTCCCAAAGCTGTTGGGACGTCTCCAAGGCTTCGGGAGCTCGACAGAGGTCACAGCTTCATAGCCGCCGTGCCACGTCATACATCTTCCACCCGAGTCCGGCCGCTTCGTTTCACACACCAGCCATGCTGGTGGTCTCTTCCGCTTGCATCAGAAGGTGCCCGCTCGCCCGAAATCCCCTTCCAAAACAAGGACAAACGGCTCCATGGCTCAATTTGGTCTGAAGAAAGCCAGAAACGGATTTATTTAAAGCATCCTCAATGTCTGGACCCCTGAATTGATCTCATCATCTCATCATTGAAAAAAGTCTTGAGAGCGTCCAGACGAGTGGTGTTCTTTCTATCTGTGCTTCTTGTGTCTTTCTTCAGTACGAATCCGAACGTTGGACATCGTTGGACAACAAGGCTCAATCAATACCAAATGCTCCTTGGATATCGGTTAGTTTGACCCTCCACGTCAATCCGCTTCAAAAGTCATCCCAAGCAAGTCATCCAATCTCATGTCAGCAGAGGGCCCAGGGGGTTTTGGTCTTGACCACTCTCTTGAGGCCAAAGACAAGCCTCAAAGAGCACCAAGACTAGCACCAAGCCCTCAAAAGACATGGAACTTGTGGTCCCATGTCCCATGGCTTTGATCTTCTTCTTTTCCAACTGCGCCAGCCAGGCCAACGGCGCCAGTCCGCCCCTTCGCGCCACATGGGTCGTGGGGGCGCCTTCCCCCGAAGCTCCGGGTGCGCCCGCACCGCCGCCTGCCGGGGAGACGGTGACCCGGCCGTTCCGCGAAAAAAGATCCAAAAGGCTGGAGTTTAGGGGAAAGATGCTCCATCTTCCAGTCCAACCATCCCAAGGCCCACAACACAAACCAAGACGAACAACCTCTCTCAGGGATGGTGGATTCTGTGAGTTGTCCAACCCATGCACGTGCACGTGCGTCCACTCGCCCCTCAGCCCGCCTGCTTGGCACTCACTCTGAAGCGTCCAGCATGTCCCACCGCCACCGGATCCGAGCCAATCGCAGGCACCAGCTCCTGTGATCTCAGCTGGTCTGAGTGTGTCTTGTACTAAGAGCGGTGGCCTCCAACCTAAGTGGTCTGAGTGCGTCTTGACTCATGGACACTCGGTGTATCATAACCCTCGGGGAGCCCCTCCCAGCTTCCACAGGTCTCAACTCATTTGGTGAAACGGTGCAGGTTTGAGGAGCATCCAAGAATTCCCAAAGCAGGTCCTCTATTTGTAACATTTTGTAACATGAACATATAACGTCCGAATTTGCCTTGCCTGCTTGCCCTACTTAGTCAGGTCGTTGAGGACTTGCTCCAAAGGGCTGTGGGCCAACACGTGCCCTACTTCCATGTCGGACAATTAGATGCTTCCAGGAGCAAGAAGCTACTAGTAACAAGGGCATCGCTACTAGTAACAAGGACACTACCACTATATAGTAGCAAATAGCTACAAGAAGCTACTAGGGGCTCCTGGCCTTACTACTAGCAGCAAGGACGCTACAAACGGGGCTCCTGGCATCGCTACGAACGCAGCTAACAAAGAACATCTCTGACGATCGGGAGACCTTGCTCGGATCTCATCGGATCCCATCAGCACCGCTGGGAGCGGCAGAGCGGCCGCTCCTCCAAAGGAAGATACGCCACCTCTGCCAAAGCCCCAAGAGCTCGACAGCTCTGTGGCAGCAGCCGGAGCCAGTTCGTCTCCTGGCCACTGCGGTGCCACTGGTGGCACTGTGGTGGTCAGTAGTTGCAAAAGCGGGTTTTCAGGGCGAGGGCCGAGGACCCATGGGACCGAGGACGCATGGCAGGCGCACCTGGCATCGTGACTTAAAATCTGACAGTTGGTTTAATCATCCAGACTAATTGGCTGCGCCTTGGCGTGCCTTGGCTGTGCCTTGGCTGTGCCTAATTCGTTTGACTTTGCTGAAAGGATCCATACCAGGGAGCTTGCCGTTCCATCTCCTCCAAAAAAAACGGAGCTAGAAGCCCTAGAAACCTGCACAGACATTGGCACGTCGAAGTTCCAAGTTCCCATCCGGCAGAACATCAAAGCAACAACTGGTTCTCCTCCCCCCTTTCACTTAAAAAGATAAGGATTTCTGTTCAACTCCCATCTCCCGCCACCTTCAAAATCGCTCCCCACCTCCACGGTGCCCCGGAGCCGCGCGCCCAGGGGCGCCACGCCCACGACGTCTTCGGTCGTGGCGGACGTGGCGCGGAAGAGGGGCAGCTGGACCGAGGTCTCGAAGCAAAGCCTCGGTTCCGCCCGCGCGGAGCGCCGCGAGCGGGGGGACGACGTGGCGAGGGGGTCGGGCGGGGTCAGGCGGCCGGAGACGGCGGAGGGTCGGAACCGGGCGACCGACCGAAGCGAGTTTGGATTCGGGCGGGAAGCAGTCCAAAGACTGGTGGCTGTAGAGGTCACCTTCGCTAGTGGAATGACCGGTGTGTTGGAGAAACCCCAGATTTGGAGAATCAATGACAGTATGGGACTGTCTTAACGTCAAAGGCCAAGAAACCTAATGCGCGGGTTGTCGTGCATGATATGACATCTTTCCTACCAAAGACTCAGAGTGGGCACACTGAGATCGTAGCGTGCCTTGGAACCTGCATGGGAAGTCATAGTTAAGAAACACAATAATACAACAATTTGTCATCAATTCTCCCTGACCCTAAGCGGCCCGGTATAATACTCGTATATGTCCCATACCATGAGAGCAAACCCAATGTGGCTTGGTCAAATTCGTTTGGCTATGGGTCCAAAATCCACCTCCAAGAAAAGGGAACTTGAAGGAAATGATCTAGTTCCCCTTGACCTCCTTGATTCCTTGCACCAGCCTCTCTCTCTCTCTGGTCACAAGCAAATCCGAACTCCCAACATCCGTCGTCTCTGTCCAGGTGGCGTGTTCGGCGGCTCTGGAAGCTCTGGAATGGCTGGGGAGTCGATGGTGTGCCTCAGATCGTCGCAAAAGAGCTGGACTCGCCCCTGGCCCTAGCTAAAGCAAAGAAAAGTGTAGCGAAGCTACCATGACCAAAAGAGAAAGAACGTTTCTCGTGACTCTCTTGGGCACCACACAAATGAAACACTTGGAAAACACCCTCACCTCGCGGTCCTCCGCCACATCGTTGGTGTTCCGCGATGCTTCCACGTGGAGTTCTCTTTTTCGTGGCGGGGCCGAAACCCCCGCCGCCCCAACTCGGCCTTCGCCTCCCGGCTTTCGGGTTGGACCCATCATACCCGGTAGGCGATGGCCCGATGAACCAAAAGGAAAACCCCCAGATATCTGGAGGACACTCCCATCTTCTGTTTGGATGACACTCTGCTTCTGTTTGGATTCCCAACTCGGCTCCAGTCTCATCACCGCTTTGATCCACCGCCCTGTCCCGAGTTCGGGCAAGACACCGGTCTCTGGGAGCGGAAATCTCTGGTTGGGGCGTTGGACCCAACTCCTACAGCGGTTTTTCCACGTGGTCGAAGCAGAAGCAGCGCCAGGCACCAATGGAACAATGGGAAGAAACCTACCAGGGGTCACAAAGGGGTGGTGTTTGGTCCCGAAGTGAGTGGATAATGGGCACCCCTAACCTATTGGTGACCCCTTTGAAGGTGCTGGTAGATGCATAATTATGTATAAATTGAAAACAACTCCTGGGAACCAAAACAAACGGAAACAAATGGGTGTTCCAATATGGCAATTGAGGTCCTTTACATAGGAAATGGTTGCTTGGGGAGACATTCATTTCTTTCCCTTCAGTCTTGTACCGAAGATGCACAACTCTGCAGAAAGCCTTTGGACCTTGAGTGAATCCTATTCCCTGCAATAGTTTGTTCATGTGCTGCGATTTCTATACCTTTCAGAGTCTCAGGACAAATCACCCTCAGTCCTCAGTGTCCGTCATCCCACGAGAAAACCAACACTGCCGTCGGGGGCGCCGTCGGCCGTCGGCCGTCGGAGACGCCAAAGCGTCGGCCAACATCGAATGTGCGGCTTGAAGAGTCAGATCTATTCAGTGACTCACATGACGTGAGAATGAAAACATGTGAAAACCATTGAAAACCACTTAAATCACCATTTCCAATGTGATGTTGGACCAAACAAAACGGTTCCAGCAAGGGTTCGTGCCAGTCACCCCCACCGGTTCCGGACTTGGTACCCTTTCGGACCAGAAAAATACCCAGGGACTTTGGGCCTCCTTCGTTGCGGCATCTTTGGCCTCTTCACCTCGGTGGACATTCGATCCGACTCCGTTTCGACCGAGGATCGCGCAGCGACCGGGTGGACATCGGATCGGTCACCAGGATCGGTCACCAAAATGGTCGGATCGGTCGCCACTGATCGATCACCAGAGGTAGTCGGCTATACGGATCGGTCGCCAGAAGAGACCGGATCGATCACCTTGCAAGCAATAGCGAATCGGCAAGATCAGTCACCACACAGGTATAGCGAAGGGAAGGGAAAAAAAAAACAACCAACCATACCGGATCGGTTGCCAGGATCGGTCGTCACAGGTATAGCGAAGGGAAGAACAAAAAGACAAACCAACCATACCGGATCGGTCGCCAGGATCGGTCACCATACAAATGTCATGAAGGGAAGAGAAACAAACAAACCGTACCGGATCAGTCGCCAGGATCAATGACCAGAGAGGTATAGCGGAGGAAAGAAAAACAAACAAACCAACCATACCAGATCGGTCGCCAGGACGGGCCGTGCAACTGTAGTCATACAAAGTCACAATCCCTGAGTCAAGTTTTTCAAAAAAATATTCTGAACTAAAAGGCGCGTGAAAAACGTCTTACCCGTCGATCACGGCCACGTGTGTCGAACCTGTGCGCTAAGAAAAATGGTTCGAAAAATTTTCGGTTTACACATCTTCGTATAATTTCGTAAATCGTATATCAAACAATGTACGCACGCAGCCAACCTGAGCTGGCGCACAATCGCGGTGGAATGCCTTGAGCCCGCAGTCGGTATATTATGAACGTAACATATGTGTATATAAATACATATACACTTGATTAAACAAAACGCGACATCTTACCTTGGTCTTCCTCACATTGCCCGGGGGGGGCCCATGGCACGCGAGTGAGGCAAATCTTTTGGAAACACACATTGCTTCAACACACACATGAAAACCTGGGCCAGAAAGGCTCACGCCAAGTCGTCAACTCAAACCACACATGTCACCAAACAAGCCTATACTGGCTATCCAAACATCAGCTTGTAGTAGCTTCATCATCAGCTTGTACTAGCTCCAGCAAAGCCTATATTGGCTGTACCAGCGGAAATTGGCGGAGACCACCAGTGACAGACCTGGGAGACAAATGAATAGAAATGCTACATGGCCAACGGAAAAGGGCGGACACCAACAGCGACAGACCTGGGAGACAAATGAATAGAAATGCTACATGGCCAGCGCAAAAGGGCGGAGACCAGCAGTGACAGACTTGGGAGACAAATGAATAGAACTGCTACATGGCCAGGGGAAAAGGGCGGACACCCGCAGTGACACAAAGGGCGGACACATCTTAAGAAAGAATTGAGAACCCCTAACAGTAAACTGTTTGGGGAAAAACTTGAACGCGTTGCGGAATAGTAAAACTCGCATGTATCCACACTCTCAGGCGAACCCCAGGAAGAGAATTCCGGACTTCCAAAGCCTTCCCATCCAGGGGCGTTTCCGCCTACAAAAAGGGACCACTGGCTGCATATGTTTCAATCTGTCGAGCGAAAGGTTTTCCAAAACTGTAGGTTGAGGTCCAACGGCTTGCCTGCCAATAAAAATCCATATGGGTCTTGAAATGCGGAGATATCACAAGCTCTAGTTCTAGCGGCGCGCCAAAAAAAAAACGGAGCTACAGGTCTGGAGCCCAGTTGTGGCATCCAGAACAATCGAGCACGTTCCAAAAACACATAGGCATATAAGAGAGATCGATTCATCGATGCGTATGGTGTATCGATACCGTGAGGTCTTCAGATCCAGATAGGTTACGTCGAGGTTTGCATGTCCACAGCGCTCGCAACTCTAGCAATTCAAGTGGCTCAGCCAAGGGTATACAGCCCTAGAGCATTCTTTCAACGGAGGTCTTCCTGAAGGTATATACCTCGAATTCGTTTGTACCAAAGTAGGCATTCGATTTTGAGTAGCAACACCTCAATACTACAGGTAGAAAGGTTTTCGTTTGCACGCTAACCCTTTACCGGAAGCTTTTGGCTCCCTTCGCGGGGGCTCCCGGCGCCACCAGGTTCAAGTTCGGTAGTGACAGCACAGCACAGCCCAGCTTAGGCAATGCAACAAATTAAATTTGTGGATATAAATATATGGTTATGCGGGTGTTTTGCCCTACCGCGCCTCGCTTCGCCGAGTGACTTCAACAGTCATTATCCTGCAACCAATCTTATCCTGCAACCAGTCTTGGGTGATGCCACCGTCTCCAAACCTGAGGATGGGCTCGTCCGAGTGTTCACTGGGCAAGCGGACATAGACTCCATGATGGCCGGCGATGATGACACATGTGCGCATCAGGATGGCCATCAGATGGGGGACTTTTGGATGTGAGCATGCAGTCAGGAACATGCCCTTGAACTGGTCCCAAGAGATCCTGTCCATCCAAGTATCTTTGGGCTCCTTGGCGTCGTCCCACTCATTGTTCAGGATTCAGGATGGCTTCGGACGAACTTGGCTGCTCGATAGCGAGCATCCACCAAAGCATTCTCCCCAACATCGAGGTACGACTTGAGATCTTTCAAATTGATGCTCGCCAAGTTGGGATCATCAAACAAAACCGGAACATGCACTTCGCCGGGGCGTTCACGGAAACCATCGATCTGCTTTGATCGACGCAGCCCAGGCAAGCACTCCAGTGAACGAATTCTCACAATGTGACGAGCAACTGCCATGGCCATGATCCGTGCCACAGGTGTCTTGCCGATACCAGGTTTGCCCAAAATCATGAGTCCATAGGAATGCATGCAAACAATGCTTCTGCCACTTCGTGCAAATGGACTTGCATCATGTATCCACGTGACATACGTCAGGTATAAACTTGGGTTGCGAATATATTTCTGATTTTTTCGTTTTTTTTGTTTTTTTTGTTTTTCGTGTTTCGTGGCAGGTGCAGTACTTTGTGGACCTTGCAAAGCACATTTCGTGGCAGGTGCAGGACTTTGTGGGCCTTGGAGTGCAGAGTTTGTGGCAGGCGCAGGACTTTTTGTGGGCCTTGAAGTGCAGATTTCGTGGCAGGTGTAGTACTTTGTGGCCCTTGGAGTGCAGATTTTGTGGCAGGCGCAGGACTTTGTGGACCTTGAAGTGCAGGTTTCGTGGCAGGTGCAGGACTTTGTGGGTGTGGAAGTGTAGAGTTGGTGGCAGGTGCAGGACTTTGTGGGCCTTGGAGTGCAGATTTCGTGGCAGGCGCAAGACTTTGTGGACCTTGAAGTGCAGATTTCGTGGCAGGTGCAGTACTTTGTGGATGTTGAACTGCAGAAAGATAGAAAGATAGAAAGATAAATTGATAGATAGATTAGATTGGATTAGATTAGATTAGATTAGATAGACAGATAGATAGAGGAGGCATATTTGCTTGGTTAGAAAGTTTTGCACCGGGGAGTTCACCTTAAAATATTGATTTCGTGGCAGGCGCGGGTGTCGGGGATGAAGTGCAGATTTCGTGGCGCGGGGGGGGTTGGGGGAGGGCGCAGCGCCCCCCCCAGCAGCACACCAGATCCAAAGGTCAGCAGCTCGCGCTTGCTTGCTTGCTTGCTTGCTTCCTTCCTTGTTTCGTTTCGTCTCTGCAACGAAAACAACAGGAAAAGCAAATACAAAAAGAGAAAGGAGAACAGCTGCCAAAAGAAAGAAAGAAAGATAGATAGATAGATAAATACATTTCTTTCCAAGGTTGACTCTCGTAGCTACGGTGGTCCGCACACAATCCCTTTTCCTCAGTCATCTTGCCAGTATGGTCTTCAACCTGCCATGTCCAGCAGGATAATTGCGTTGGGTTACCTGCATCAGCAGGCCTGACACAATCAGACCCTTGTGGTATCCTTCCGGTCACTCCGGAAACCACTCCCCCCCTGGGGTACTTAAAAAGTTGTCTGAAAGCGGTCACTCCGCTAGATTGTGCCAGATCGCAGATCCCTGCGCAAGCCCCAGGCTAGCCGGCTAGCCCTTCAAGGGTAAGGGTGACCCCACCGGGGGCCCTTACACCAGGGTGGGCTGGGTGGGAAAAAGAGAGAACAAACGCTATTTTGGCCAAGTCACTTGAGCCAAAACATTCGTTGGTTCAAACCTATGGCAGTAATGAATACATGTTCACCCAAGCCTGCCAGACCTGAAACATGTTTACATTTCTTTCCAAGGTTGACTCTCGTAGCTACGGTGGTCCGCACACAATCCCTTTTCCTCAGTCATCTTGCCAGTATGGTCTTCAACCTGCCATGTCCAGCAGGATAATTGCGTTGGGTTACCTGCATCAGCAGGCCTGACACAATCAGACCCTTGTGGTATCCTTCCGGTCACTCCGGAAACCACTCCCAATGCACTTCAAATCCTCCCAACGCACTTAGAGAAATTCTACGACTCGGATCACTGCTGGCAGCGGAAGGTGCCAAAGGCAGAGAGGGCAAGAGACGGAAAAAGGGGTGAATCCGTTGGTTCGCCACCACGGATCGGACCAACCTAGTCTTGAAATGGCGTCGGCCCAATTACTCTTAGACGGAATGTATTCCCAATACATCCAAGTACGCAAAGCGTACAGCATGACATGAATCAAACCACACATGCGCTCCAGATCGGGTGACTGGGAACGGCCCCGGATCAGACACATGAGGCTAGCGACGTTATCGATCAGCCAGATGCCCCGACGACCTCGAAAGGTCTGCGCCCGATATGTGAGGGCATAAATGATCATCACCATCTCCAACTGGGCTATCTGCCTGTCACCGGGCTCCCACAGCTGGTAAACTTCCGGAGAAATGTTGGCGATGAAGGCTTCCCGAACCGGTCCCACCGGATCGTGCCAGACGATTAAAAATCCTCCTGTGCCCTGCTTTGGTTCCTCCAAAGCTGCGTCAGAAGCTACAACAAACCGCAAACATTCGGACGGCCTCACAGGAAGTTCGCGACAGGGTCGATGGCGAAGGATGGAGTGAATCACATCGAAGTTGCGCTGAAGCTCTGGAGTGAGGTCGCGGTTGCGCTCTGTCTGGCGTGCTTTAATGGC